TGATGTTAAATACATCATATGTTGCTATGGTAGCTGGTCTTTTGATTGAATCCAGAGCAATGCAAAAGCTAAAAAAAAAAAAAAAAAGAAGTAGTGCATATTGGACTCAGGCAGACCCCAAGGTCATGTTCCTTGGTGTTATCTTCATCAAGGATGATATTCTTCCGTCTCCTGGGGAACTGAAATGCTTAATTACTGAAAGGTAATTGTGTGATCACTGACAGGGACCTCTTGAGCAGTGAAGTTATGTATGGGCAGTTGTCATCTCAGATTAACTAGGGTCACTAGAAACATAGCCAGAGTTTCCATAATAATTTTTGTGACTCATAGCAACTCCAAGCAATTGTCTAGATGGAACTTTGGATAGGGCCTCAAGTGCTTTATAAAGATTCTGCTCATTATATTAAAGTACATCTTTATTCCGCTTCCCATAGAGGCCGGTGGGAATATCCCTCCTTCTTTGGGATGGAAGAGCGTCATCTGAAGGGAGGTTATCTCCCAGGGGCATTCTTTGGCTGTAAAGCTCCAGTCTTAGCTGGCCCCATCCTGAATGAGCCTGATCTCTATCTCCATGGCTTTTCCCTTGCTTCAGTTTTCTGGCCTGAAGATTATAAGGATCTGTGCCCATGGAAAGGATCAGCAGGAAATCTGCCCCAAGCCAACTCACAGTGTAACATAGAGACAATTACTGATAAGGTGAGGGTGACTCAGTCTATGGCATCAGGAAACAACCCACTTAAAGGGTAACAAATGTAAAATGATCTGTAACCTGGAAGTTTTAACTTCAGAGAGTCTGTTAAAATGAGAGGAGATCGTACACTGATAATAGTATGACAAGTACAAACAGATGTAATCTACAGAAGAGACATGAAACAGAAATTCCCCAGCCCTCCTTGGCTTTCATCCTCAATCTTCAGCTCCCTAGTCTGTTACTGGGGCCACTCCAGCAGGCCTCAGAGGCCGAATCTGAACCTGTTCTCCAGGATGTCCCCTGACAGTAAGCAAGAGGAGCTTACGGCTCTCTTGTCTGAGGATCCGTTACAGATTAACTATGCAGTCCACATGGTCTCGACGGGCACCTTGGCAGAGTGGTTACTGTCATGAGTTCTAGAGTTAAATACTGACTTCCCCACCTGCCCTGTGACCTTGGGCAGCTCATTTAACTTTTCTTTGCCTCCTCTTCCTCGTCTATGAAATGGATGTGAGTGGTTGTGCAGATTAAGTGAGCAAATATACATAAATCATATGTATATGTCTGTGGAATAGCGGACATTTGGTGAATGTTGATAAAAGTTAGCTCTTCTTTTTTATAATTCTATTCTTTTTTAATTTTTGGCTGTGCTAGGTCTTCGTTGCTGTGTGGGCTTTTCTCTAGTCATGGAGATCTTCCTGGACCAAGGATCAAACCCTTGTCTCCTGTATTGGCATGCAGATTCTTTACCACTGAGCCACCAGAGAAGCCCCCAAAATTTAGCTGTTCTTAACACCATCATCATCATCATCACCCCAGGCATCTATGTTCCTCTCCTGTACCATAATTCTGTCTCAATAACCCACTTCCATATCTGGACTCCGTGAGGCTTTCATTTTTCTGACCAGGTCTCTCCCCTCCTCAGGAAGTAGTGTTCTGACTTTCACTGACAACTCACCTGGCATCCTGTGGGTCATCTCTCAGGGCACCTTGTTAACCTCCTGCTGCATCTTCCCATGCCAGGTGATCACTGGTTACCATAGTCAATTTCTGGGCTCATCTGCTTCCTGGTAACCACAGGTGGATTTGCTGTTTTAGCACCTGACCTCTCACTGTGGGTCAGAAGTCACTTTAAGCACCCTGGCCTCAGGAGGTAGCTGGGGCCACACTCAGATATAAAGAACTTGTTGATCTGAGACAGGGTATCCTGAATGACCTATCACAGGTGGCTGGTAGACTTGGCAGATGCATATGGATATAATAAAAGCACCAGGCATTAGCATTAAAAACCCTGCAAAAATGTTAACAGTATTGAGCCGTTCCAGCTTTGCATGGCTATGTATTTGGAAGAGCTCAATAGTGATACATTTGTATTACATAAATGTTAAATATTGCAGAAAAACTAGATAATACAAATAAACCGAGTTAATTGTAAAAAGAAAACATCTATAACCCATCTTCCAGGGATAACCATTTTAATCTCTCTCACTCTCTCCACACACACAGACCTCCCCCGCCACCACACACACACATAATCACTTTTTTTCACTTAGTAGATTGTGGACTGCTTTCCATGTCATGAAATATACATTTAGATTATCAAGCATCAAATAATTCAAAATGATTCTGAAGATGTGTTGTTTCGTGGTCCAGCTTTTTGGCACTATTTTGCTGCCAAATGATAGTGGTGATGGTGATGTTAAAAATAGCTAAACTTCTGGGTTTCCCTGGTGGCTCAGTGGTAAAGAATCTGCCTGCCAAGGCAGTAGACAAGAGTTTGATCCCTGATCCAGGAAGCTCTCCGCAACTAGAGAAAAGTCCACACAGCAGCAAAGACCCAGCACAGCCAAAAATAAAAAAAGAATAAAATTATAAAGAGGTTAAACAGCCTGCCTGAGTTTTTATGGTGTACAGCTTCTGATGCTGGTAACTGCCACCAGGTTAATTAGGGTGGCTCCTGGCTGGAGTCTCATTCAGAGCAGCTTGGCTTTATGTAGGCGTGGTTATTTGGGGAACAGGGCTTTTGGCCCATTTGTTCTAGTCTCTTTCCATTACGAAAACCTGCCACCCAGCAGTGGGTCTCAAGTTTCTAGTGATGGCCAGGGTGGGTGTTCAGCATTCTGGGCTCTGTCTCTATGTCACTGTGGGATGTTTGGCAGGGTGACCCATCTCTCCATGCCTCTGTTTCCTCATCTTTAAATTAAAGGAGTTGTACTTGCTTTTCTTCTGCTGTCACACTCTGATTGCATGTTAAATCATTTGGAGTGTGATTGAGGCCTGGGAGTGGCTCTTACTTGTGGCTGCATAATCTGGTGCCAGGCTGGCTGGCCCAGGATCACCAGACGGGAGACACTCCAAGTGTATATGCCTGGCCCTCTTCCTTATCCTCCACTGGGGTGAAGCCTGAGAATCTGTATTTTTAACAATCCCCTTAGCTAGTCTTTCTCACTGAAAGGATGGTGCCTGCTCCTAAGCTGCCCAGCTGATCTCATCCTAATTGAACTCTCGTTCTGGCCAAAGGTTTGTAAAAAGCATCTTAACCCCAAATCCTTCATGGAGGCAGCTGGTTTTGCTGGAAGCCTACACGGTTCCGGGACCGCCAGCAGCTTGGCTTCCACAGCCCCTGGAGACAGCTTTCCCCAGCCTGTCAGCTTCTCACCCATTGTCAGAGCTCAGCACACCCTGCCCAACCACCTGGCCCCCTTCCCCCGGCCCAGATTCCATCATGTTCTACTTCACATGGTTTCTTGTTCCATATGGTTTGGCTCAGGCTGCAGTAGGGTTATGACCACCCTGCGTGTTTGTCCCAGCAGCCTCCCCCACTGCCCTTCATCAAGCAGGGGATGTTTTTCCTTCCACCTGGTTTCATTCTTCCGTCTGTTCCCTCATCTTCCAGGAGACCTGATGTTTCTGATACATACAGTAGATTTCCTTTGAAACCTGTAGGACTTGATCTAATGTATTAGCACTTTACTTCAGAGACCTCTATACAGGGCTTTAAATATATAAGTGGCCGCATTCCTTTCCTGTCTGATTATTAAAATACAGACACACACACATAGGCACACACCCTTCACCTTAGAGTGTGCTGGGTTTAAAAAGGTAGAACCTACCTTATCCACAATTTGAATAGGAGATTCTGATCTTATTTCACATTTATGTCCCATTTTACTCATATTCACCATTTATAAATAAGAAAGAAATAAGCCAGAAGCAGCTGAATATTAAACCTGAGTAGACTAGTATATCTGAATCACCTGGATAAATTAACAAACTACAGATTGCTGGACCTCATGCCAGACTCACTGAATCCTTGAGGGAGGGATCCACGAGTCTGCCCTTCCCAGGAGCTCTCTAAATGGTTCTTCTGCAGGCTGAAGGCTCAGATCTCCTGCAGTAGATAGTGAAGAGAATTAGACAAAATAAGATGCACCATCGTGTATTAGATGGTAGAGAGAATTTAGACTGGCAGGCACCCTGGTAGGCACTAGACTTCTTGGGGTTCAATTCAGCCTCTGCCCTCACTGGCTGTGTGACTGCTTCATGCCTCAGTTTGCTCACTAGTAGAAACAAATCTGTAAAAATATCAATAACATTGGTCATCATGAGGATTAAATTAGTTAATATGTGCATACATGCTAAGTCGTCCCAGCCTTATCCAACTCTTTGTGACCTTGTAGACGTAGCCCACCAGGCTCCTCTGTCCATGGGATTCTCTAGGCAAGAATACTGAAGTGGATTGCCATGCCCTGTTCCAGGGGATCTTCCCAACCCAGGGATTGAACCCGTATGTCTTACATCTCCTGCACTGGCAGGCAGGTTCTTTACCACTAGCGCCACCTGGGAAGCCCTAGTTAGCATGCTTAAAATAGTGCTGCACATGGGAAAAGTGGTGTCCGTGTTCGCTGTGAATAGTACCCCATGCACACGAATGGCATGAGCAAAGTCAAACAGATGCAAATGGGTGGCCTCTCTGAGGGAGGCAAACAGACGTCCTTGTTAAGAGCAGGTTTAGGTCAGTAGTTTTCAAATTATGGTATGCAAAAACTTCCATAAACATGGAACTTCCCAAAACATGGGAAGCATGTTAAAAATGTAGTGTCCTTCCAAAGATTTGATTTAGTAAACTTGGAGTGAAGCTTTGGGATCCGCACTTAAAATGTTTGATGTAGGTGATCAGCACATTTTTAGAAACCCAGGTTTCAGTGGGGAAGTACGGGCATTTACATGAGGTGAGGCCTCATGGGATTTGGCGTGGGCCATGGAAAGATATGGATGCTAATTGCATATTTAATATCTGCTCTATTAGGTGTGTCCAGAAAGCAGTAGAAGTATCTGGGAGGTACAATGTGCATCCTACAACAACAAGCCGTTCATGGGCCGTTTTTATGAATGGGAACCATTTGCAGAAGGTAAGAGTAGCCCCAGTCCTGTCCACAGGAATCAGTTCTGTCTGTTCTCCAACCCTGTTGCCTTTTCGTTGTTGCTGGAGGAGCTGGTGTGATGCTGGCTAGAGTGGCATGCAAGGAGGAGCTGGTAGGGGTCTTTACTGAAGGTAGTAATAGCTCTCAGGTGACAGCTGGACCATTAGTCAGATGGGAGAGGCTTTGATTGGAGCAAGCAGCATCTGAGGATGGCAGGATGAGCGAGACAGAACAAGGATGGAGAAATGAGTAGAAGCAAGAGCTTCAAGCTAAACCTGTGAGGAGTGAGCAAGGGTAGTTTCCCTTTTCCTTGGTTCCTGCTGCAAGGGCTGGTATAATGGCTTAAGAGAGCATGTAGAGTTATAGGACTGACAGCTGTTTGGCTTTTGTGCTGGGGGAGCCTCGAATGCAGTTTCCAAAGAGGAAGTGTGGTGGGCAACCATTTCAGAGCTCGTCAGTACTGTTCTAGGTCTTGGAGTCACTTTCCTTTGCTGTTTGTTTTGTTTTGATGAGGACCATTTTTAAAGGCTTTGTTAAGTTTTTGCCATGTTGCTTCTGTTTTATGTTTTGGTTTTGGGGCCATAGTGAGTTGTGCTGATTCCGTTACAGAATCTGTGTCCACACGTGAGAAGTCATGCCTAGGTGTAAGGCCACGGGAAGAGGGAGGCAGGGTGGATGTCTGCTCTGAAATGGGATGCAGAATTATTTTTGTCTGCACATTTGTCTCAGAGAAGTGTCTGTAGCTTGGACTGGATTCTCAAAGTGGTCTCATGACCACTGCCCATTAGAATCACTGGGGAGCCTTCTAGAAATATTGAGGCCTGGGTACCACTCCCAGAGATTGTGATTTAATTGATTTGGGGTGCAGCCTGGGGATGGAGATTTTTTTTTTAAGATCACAAGTCATTCTGATGGGCAGCTGGGGTTGAGAAACTCTAATCCAAGAGGGAGGCAGGATCTCAGAAGAGGTGGTGACTCTGGCTTAAATTAAGGCACAGAATCATAAGTGCTTTGTAAACCGTGAAATATATTCTTATGTCAGGGCAACAGTACTTGGCAGTGAGCACTTGGAGAAGTAACCCTTTCTTTTGTCTGAGCTGCATCCTTGCTTTTTTGTTGGCTGTGGGTAGTAACAGCTGCTTTACCGTGGTTCACTGGGAGGCAAGGTGAATTCCTCCAGCCATGCGCTGTCTGTCCCCATTGTTTACCCCGAAGCTGGAGCCACATCACCCAACCCTCTCTGCTTAGTGCCACGTGGTCCTCTGCCAGCCACCTGATCCTGTCAAGCCTGGTAGACTCAAGTCTAGTATCAAAAGCTCTTTGCACCCCACAAAGAAAACTCATGCCGATATTTTCACCTATTATCAGTATTGCCTGTGGATGCCGGCTGTTGCCTATGTATGATTCTACTTTTTCTGTCCTTTCGTTTGCCCTGTCTCAGGCTGGACTTTAATTGTGAGTCCTCAGGTAGGAGGGGGGTAATTAACATCTGATTCAACTTTGTATTTTGGAAAATTTCAAACATATGTAAAGACAGATAGAATAGTATAATCATATGATAATAACCTCCTATATACCCATCACTTAGTTTCAACTCATGGTCAGTCTTTTTCATGTATAGTCCACCTGTTCATCCCCATCCAAATATGGCAAACTATTTGGATTCACATTATACAGCATTATTCACTGGTGCATATATTGATTAGAACTCTTGGTTGTAAGTGATGGAAACCCAGCCTACCTATATTTAAACAAGAAAGATACTTTGTTGGTCCTGTTACTGGGAAGTCCAAGAGAGGGGCTGGGATTTAGATGTGGCTGCATTCCAGGGATTCAATAACATTAGGAGCCTGCTTTTCTCTTTTTCTCCATCTCTTGTTCTGTTTACTTACTTCTCAGGTGGATGGACAGGCTAACATGGCTTTGAACTTGCAATCATAGTAAGGAAGACTCTCTTATCTAGTGTTATGGGTTGAATTATGTCCCCCAATTTTTCTATCCCTGGTACCTATGAATTTACTTATCTATAAATAAGGTCTTTGTAGGTAATTAAGGTTCAGGTTAAGAAGAGGTCATACTGGATGAGGGTGGGCCCTTAATCCAATACGACTGGTGTCCTTATATAAAGAGAAGAGACACAGACACACATATGGAGGACACCCAGGCACAGACAGAGGAAAGATGGCCATGTGACACCAAGGCGGAGCTTAGAGCGATGTAGCTACAAGTCAGGGAACACTAAGGGTTTTTGGAAAATGCCAGAAACCAGGAGGAGTAACAGAAAGATTCTTCCGCAGAGACTGCAGAAGAGCAAAGCCCTGCCAACACCTTGAGTTTGAATTCCCAGCCTCCAGAACTGTCAGAGAATAAATTCTGTTGTTTTAACCCACCCAGTTTGTGGTCATTTTTTATGGCAGCCTAGTAAACTAATATGCTTAATGAGGGCTTTGGTCTCAGAAAAACCACACTGTGATCTTTTTTGGGTCATATTCCCATCCCTGGACGTGAGTTCAGGGCCTAGGTTGAGGGCAGTGGTCCTTGGGTTAGACTAGCTCTCTGGTGGGAAACCCACATCCCAGGAAGTGGAGGTGGGAAAGAGGGAATTGGGACAGACAGAAAAACAGAATCTTCTACAGTAATTATTATCTACTTCTTCACCATAAGCCACTGAAATTTTAAAGGAGCCAGTGAGAATGCTGGTGTTTTACAAAGAAAAGAAAAGTGCAGAGCAGCAGCAGATTAAAGAAATCAACCATCTTCTGCACTGTGTTTGTTACTTTGTCTAGAAAATTTAGCATTCTTTAAAAATATTTACTGACATTAATGTGTCTCACATGCCTAGGAGGAGAGGATCCCAGAGTCACTGAAACTGCATTTACTTTGGCTTTCTTTAAACAGTTCTTCTTGCTGCTAAGATTGTTTTCTTGATTTTGTCCTTTTTCCTCTTAAATGACTCCCAGGCTGACCAGTGGGAGGAAGACGCTGTTAATGTTTCTGCAGGGTGTTCATATTTTACGGCTGGATTTTGCGTTCAGCTCTTGGTTTTGTTTGGATGTCTGTTGCTATTCACATGTGCCTACTTAGGGGAACAGCTGCACTCATTCAGCCCAATGCCACATAGAATAGTAAAAGCAGCGTACACTCTCTGATAAACACATTAATTTCACCACATGCTTCTTCTTAGACCTTTGACTGCATTTCTTGGATATAGTGATCTGTCCTAAGATAATGCCTCTAGGAATTTTTCTCATAGACTTAATACTGTAAAGACGATAGAAGTAGAATTCCAGTGTCTATGTGTGCCTGTTTACTCAGTATAGTGATAGTTCATGTGTCACCCTCGTCCCCCTTCACTCCAAATCACTTTGGACTATAAATTGTATGGTCAATGTAGCTAGAAGAGGACACTTTAATAGGTAGAGTCTTGTTTGGTGCATTGGAGAACATTGTACCTGTTTTCATAACTAGAATCTAGAATTTTGCCGGGTCACTGCAGGCTCTACCTCAGTGAGTATCAGTCTTAATCCATAAACCAGAGGACAGCTTTGTATTAGCATTTTAATGCATCATATGACCCCAAGAGCTGAACTAAACAGAGCACAAATCTAAAAGCCAGAATTGAGGCTAAGTCAGAACCTGGAGGTTGCCAACTGGTTATGACCAGGGCCAGTGTATCTGTCAGGACTGCATATCTTGAGCTGCAGGAACAAAGAGCCCCTGAGTCCTTCTGACTTAACAGAACAAGTTTGTCTCTTGCTCAGACCACCTGGGTGATGCAGTATGTGTTCTGCTCATTCAGGGGTCCAGGCTGATAGAAGCAACATCTCAACTTCTGCTTCCACTGAGGCAAGGAAAGGGAAGAAATGAATCACCCATGGATCCTTCACACTTCTCCCAGAAGTGATCAGTGTTGTTTCTGCTCACATCTCATTAGCCAAAGCAAGTGACACATCATGTTTAACTTCAAGGGCAGCAGGGAGGTACCATCCTGCTGTGTGCTCAAAGAGAAGTGACATATCTGTGACCACCCTAATGACTAGTACAGGCAGGAAGCTTCGAGAGAATTACCTGAGTGTGTCTTCCTTCTGTAAGTTTGGGTGACTTTTATTAGGCTGCTTGCAAGAAGAGTAGATTTGGTTCTAGGGAATATTATAGGTGACACTGAGTTTCTCACAGTTACAGGGCCCTGAGCCATTTAGACTATTCCTTCTCCTTGATTAAAGCTCCGAGGGGCAGGGATGGGATGTTGGCGCCAAGGAGTGCTGCTGACTCCTCGCAAGTCTAGCCCTGGCACAGACCACATTGGTGTGGGGGTCAAGGACTGTCATAAACATGGACAGTATTATCACAACTGTATGATGTGAGGAAGGAAGGCTTAGGGCCAGGTGCTAGTGGACGTGGGATTAGGATGTTTATGTTTTACTCAAGCAACTTTATTCATTCCTGGAATTCTCCCTCCATCAGCCTGCCCCTCCTGCTCAGACAGTTCATAGTCATCATGGACTTTTCAGAGTGGACAGGGAAGGCCTAAAGGAAAGGAGAGGAGTTTTCCAGTTTTCTGCCCCCCAACAGATCCATGCTAAAGCTCTTTTATCCAGGCCTAGGAATACCTGGCAAGACAAGGCCATGTTTGCTCAGCATTTGAGCGTATCATTGAGGACAAGGGGCTTCCCTTGTAGCTCAGTTGGTGAAGGATCTGCCTGGAGTGCAGAAGACCCAGGTTCGATTCCTGACTTGGGAAGATCCCCTGGAGAGGGAAACGGCAACCCACTCCAGTGTTCTTGCCTGGAGAATCCCATGGACAGAGGAGCCTGGAGGGCTACAGTCCGTGGGGTCGCAAGAGTTGAACATGACTTAGCACCTAAACCTCCACTGAGGACAAAGCAAAATCCCGAGAGCAACCCCTTTCTAAAACAAAACAGTGATTTTGGTTTTATACATTAGTTGAGTAAGAATGAATGGTAGTGAGCACCCCAGCAAAAGTTGGG